TTGCCTTTCGATTGTGATAGTGTCAATATTAAAATATGTTTCTGTAACTTCAGGTAGTTCAATATTATATGGTTTTTTTTTTCTCTTTTAGGAAAATCTAGCAGGTTTGGGGTTCCCCACGAATTTCAATTTTTTTCTTATGCCAGAAGAAACAAAACAAAACAAAACAAAAAAAACAAAAAAAGAAAAAAAGGAAAGAAAGAAATGTTTTCTTTGACCCTGAAAGTTAATTATTTTCTTCTGACGTTAAAATATTTCATAAACTTCTAAAAGTTTGAAGAATCCCAATCCCCCAGGCCCTGTGCTTGTTGTGCCTAAAGGACCACTTGGCCTGGCTCCAGTGAAGAAGGACGCCGGCCTGCAGCCCTGGATGTCGGGCTGCTGATGTGGGGAAAGGCAGGGACTGGTCCAGTTGGGTCTCTGGTCTCAGAGCTGACGGGCCTCAGACCTTTGTCAGAAGTGCCTCCAGTTTGCCAGTGCCTAAATTTGATGGCTGCTCTGCCTTTCTTATAAATGGTGCACCTTGAAGAACAGGAAAGAACAGTGAACTAGCATCCAGAGGACCAGAGCTCTGATGGCCTGCTCTGATGCTGTGTAGGTGTGTGGTCTTGGATAAGTCCTTTGTCTGGGTAGGCGGTTCCAAGATTTGCAAAATGAACGTATTGGACAATAGAATAACATTCCGGGTACAATTTATGCCATATGAGCTTTTGAAATATTATTAGAAAAAGTCTCAGGGAAATAGATGAAGCCATACATAAAAGGAGACAGATGATGTTCTGGAAATAAATTATTACCGCAATACTATATTTAATCTACCTTGGAATTTTCTGGCAACTGATAAATATAAAACTCATATAGTCTGACCAAACGAAAAGTAACATTTCTTTAGAGGTTTATTTGGTATTTATTTATTATTTTTTAGAAGTTTATTTGGCATTTATTTACTTATTTATTTATTTTGCAGTTTTTGGCTGGGGCTGGGTTTGAAACCGCCACCTCCGGCATATGGGGCCGGCGCCCTACTCCTTTGAGCCACAGGCGCCACCCTATTTATTATTTTTTTTAAAAAATAATAAAAGTAGCATAAATGAGATTTTAATGTTTTTAAAAAGCAAAAATTGCTACATCAATAAATTGAAATCTTTTTCTTCTAATCTTTAGTGATATAAAAATGATAGAAATGTCCATTACCAAATCATCTATTTTTCTTTTCTTTTTTTTTCCACTCAAGGAAACATGGCCTTTAATTCCATGCTCCCATAATGTTGTTTCATGCTATTTTAAATGTCTGAGCAATATCAGTTGGATATATTTAGCCATTCCTTGACTATGAGGTGTTTAGTTGGTTTCTAATTTTTCATTACTACCTAAAATAGGCAAGTAATATTATAATATTTTTCTTCTTTAGAATAATTTTTACTGCCTGAATTTCCCTGAATGAGAAGATTAGGTTAAACAGTGTGGACATCATTTGTGTTTTCCAAGCCTCAGCCCTTGGCTTCCCTAGGAAATTGTGCTGATTTTACCCTCTTGGGTATTAGATGCTAAGATAAATTTATGGGGGTAATCTTAGGGAACTATAATTTTTTTCAGGTCTAAAAGGTTCTCTATGGGTCTGTTGCAAGGCATAATATAAAAAAAAATGGAAACTTTACTTTTGGCTGGATTTGTACCTGGTGTTAATATGCTCTTAGTATCTCCCCGCAGGGATGGAAAGACACTTTTCACAGGACAGGGAGTACACAAGTTATCTGGGCAGAGGTGATGAGGAGGACAGTGGGATGCTTCCATGTCTGACACTCCTGCCATAGCAGCCAGGCCTAGGAAGTTTCATTCATTGTCATTCCATGATGGCCCAATGACTGGAGCGGAGCTCGAATCATTCTGGATTAGGATGGCTGGGCTCATTTCCCCCACTATTTATGGCTGTGAGAATTTCAATGGAGCTGAGAGTTTCCTTCTTTCCTGGATCTCAAACAGCTTGGTCTCAGAGTGCCGAGCTTCCCCAAGTGTTTCCATGGAAGACAGCCTGAGGGAGAGGAAGTGGTGCTAATTAAATCCTCCCTCTGTTTTCCAGGCATAGGAGCTTTTCACAGATGTCTGTTGTTAGGCGAGTGTTCCCAGAGCGCACAAATACAGAAGCAGGCTTTCCTTCCCAGCCACGGACCTTCCTTCTCAGGTTATGGGGAGAAACGCATTTCCTTCCAACACCCCGTGTAATAGAGTGGCAGACCCACACAAATAGAGCATGTAGCTGCCAGGGGGTCTGGTACACTACCAGCCTCTCTCTGCCCTCCTGTTCTTCCTGCCCTCCTCCCCCTCCTCACTCTCTCTTTCTTTTATTCTCTCTCATTTTCTCTCTCTCCACCCCCCCCCACACACACACATACAACTTTTCCTGCTTCTCCATCCCTTGTTTTCTCATACACTGATCTCTGTCTTTGATGCACCTAACTTTAAACAATTACCTGAAAACTCAGGGAAGCCCTTTCTGTTCTAAGATGCCTTGACATCACGGTGGGCGTGCTGGATCTGAAGCAGGATCAGAGTCAATGTGCCACCACAATTATCTGAGTGGCTTCTAGGTGGGTCCCATCTACTCTGAGATCCTTAGAAATACAGTGATGGAGTCAATAACCTTCCCCGGTATCCGTGAACATTAGATGCAATAAAATATAATGCAATCTACATGAGGCTGGCCACTGGAGAGTTTCTCGAATCAGTGTTTTCATCTACACTGTAATCCCCTGGGGGACTACGGATGTCCCCACATTTGCCTGACACAGCCCAGCTTACCCCCATCACCCTGTCTTAAATGTTGACACTACCCTTTTCATGACAGGATATGCCAGTGTAGGTAATAAACTGCGTGCTCATACTACCTTTCCTTCTCCTGGATATTCCAGTTAATCCCAATTTCAAGAGTGGAGATTTGCTGGGGTTAGGAAATTAAAACCACCTATGTTTAATGGCATGGAGGAAATTGTGAGAATTACATAGCATTCCCAGTTGCATGGCAGAACTGGGCATGAAACCCTCTTATGTAGCACTGTAGGGAATCCTGAGTCCCTGCTTCAGCTTGGGAACGGCAGCCTGATTAGGTGAACACATTACTGGGCTCGCACGTCTTCTGTTTTATTTTGTTTTGCTTTATATCTGCAACACAAAACCCAATGTATTGTTTATATTTATTTTAAAACATATATAATAAATGTTAGCATCCAGATAGCAAGAAAACAAAAACTGATAAATAATAAGTAAAAATCACCTATAACACGGCCATGTAGTGATAACTATTAGTATTTTACTTTACTTCCTTTTAGACCTTCTTTTCAGGGTTTTTCTAACCTCTGTTTCACCACACATGTATATACACATGGATAAGCACATTTATACACCTAAGTTTATTTGTATTTTTTCTTTCTCTTTCTTTCTGAGTTATTTTAATAAGTATGCATAACATTCAGAAGTATTTACATTAGCAATGTATTCGACATTTTTTTCACACTAAAAATATACACTTATATTTTTAATGACAACATTATTTTTCACTCTATGTTGTAATATATTTTATTTTACCAGTTTCTTACTGATGGGTACTCAGCTTCACTGTCGTATTTTGGTATTGGACACAATGTTGTGTGAGTGTCCAATGTTGTTCTTATATAAAATATTTTTCCAGTAGACATGAACTCGTATATATTTATATTAGACAGAATGTTATGAGGAAGAACTTTATATACTAGATATAATATATGTCTTGGAGGATTTGTCTAAATTATTTCCTTAGAATAAATTTTTACAATTGGGTTTTCAAATTTAAAAATATGCTCAGTTTTAAGTCCTAGTGTGCCCTATTACTACTCAAGAAACACACAGGGAAGGGCATTATCATTGCTTTTAACTTTTATTTTATTTTATTTTATTTTATTTTTTGAGACAGAGTCTCACTATGTCACCCTCAGTATGGCATCACAGCTCACAGCAACTTCAAACTCCTGGGCTCAAGTGATTCTCTTGCCTCAGCCTCCCAGGTGGCTGGGACTATAGGCGCCTGCCACAACACTCGACTATTTTTTGATTGTAGTTGTCATTGTTGTTTTAGCTGGCCTAGGCTGGATTCAAACCTGGCAGCCCTGGTATTTGTGGTTGGCGCACTGACAACTGAGCCACAGGCGCCGAGCCTACTTTTAACTTTTATTTATTTTTTTTGTTTTTATTTTATTTATTTATTTTTTATTAAATCACAAACACATAGATCATGTATACATTAATGCATTTATGTGGTACAATGTGCTGACTTCATATAGAATTAGGAATGCTTACATCACACTGGTTAATATTTACCTCATCTCGTTTACTTAATTATTGTTAAGACATTTATACTCCATACTTAATAGATCAGACTTGTATCCTTGCATTATGCACCATAGGTGTGATCCCACTATTCACCCTCCCTCCATCTGACCTCCCCTCTCCCCTCCCATCCTTCCTAGTTATGATCTATTCTTCATATGAAAGTGTGAGTGATTATAAATTGGTTTCATAATAGTACTGAGTACACTGGATATTTTTTCTTCCATCCTTGAGATACTGAACTAAGTAAGATATGAAGTTTGGTGGATTTTCAAGTAAATAGGCGTTGAGATCTTCAGGAGAAATTATCAGATAATTACTTCATAGTGCTCCTGATTTGTTCACTTTCCAGTCTCTGGGAATCAAATATGAGAAAATGAAACTACTTGCAAGGTCTTTTTCTCCGTGCAGAGGGTCTCTGCTACTCCCCTCTGGTAAATGGCTCTGTAGGACTGTGCGTGGTATTTAGGAATCTGTGTTGTAATGAGCCGCCTCCCTCACTGCCTTCATGGAGGTAATGGGAGGGGTGTTTATACATGTCAGAAATGTCATTTGCTCACCTCAGCCTGTTTTGGCATAGCCAGAACATAGGCAACCTTTTTTTTTTAATGAAAAGATTGTATCTTTTCTTGTTTTAGATTGAAGAAATGTCAACAGTTGGGAATTTTGAAGGATTTCAGCCTGTGTCTTTGAAGCAAGAGGGTGATGACCAACCTTCTGAGACTGATCGCCTGTCCGTGGAAGAGCTGGAAGCTGGCAAGGACCTAGTGCCAAGGCAGATTTCCAGGCAGTCAAGTGTGACTGAATCAACACTTTACCCCAATCCCTATCACCACCCTTATGTCTCACGGAAGTACTTCGTTACACGGGTAAAATTGTTGGTGCTCTTAAATATTACACAAAATGTTTCCTTAAAAAAAAAAAAAGATCTTAAAATCCTTCTATATACTACTTATGCCAAGTGTTTTCACATTTTTCTCATGTAATAGTCATAGCAATCATGACATTATTCTTACCCCCATTTAAAGATGAAGGATCATTTAAAGATGAAGTGTCTGAACTTCAGAGAGGTTAAGGATCTATTTTTGATCACACAGATATTATCAAGGACAGGCAGGTCCTCCAGCCTCCTTGGGTCTTTGGTTCCCCAGTCTTGTTTTCATGCTAACGCTGACCTCAAAGAATTAATGTTCTGTGAAGAGATAATCACAGAATATAGAATATAAAGCTGTTAACTCAGTGAGGGGTCACTGTTTGAGAAAGGCATAGATTATGGAGAGGAAAGAGTTGCTAAGGATGGGCTGAATCTCAAGGGTTTACATGGAATGCTTGCATTACAACGTGGGAACAGATACTTTTTAATCTCACACCTGCCATCTGGTACTGTGTCCTTTTACCTGTGTAATAGAGCTGGGAAAGTAAATGGCTGAGTGAGTAATGAGGATGTTTTCGATTCTACATAAAAGTTGTATATTGTGGTATCAGACACACAAAAAATAATATTTTAAACTTTTAGTATTTGGATCAAGTGGAGAAGGCTTATGGGTTTCTAGTACCTTTCTCTCTTGAGCTCTCCTTCCCACTTACAGATCTTCAACATTCTTATTAATACAATAGCGGCTAGCTCATAGACTATACTCAGTCGAGGGCACAGTCAAGGGCCCCATGCTCTGGCAGCAGAGGCCATCTCATTTTCATGTGTGTATGGGACATCCCTGTTGAAAAAAAATTTGACAAAATTTTATAGATTGGAGTTAATCAAGACATGGTGACCTTTATAAAACTTTAATGAGTTTTGATTTTTTAGCTTTCAAAATATATCTTGGGTTAAGATAAAGTTTTAACTAAAGCAATGCAATGTGTGTGTGTGTCTGTGTTTAAACATTACATATACTCTACGTGCGAGATGCTTTGGTAGGTGCTATACCATGTGTGTGTTTGTGTGAGTGCTTTTGCATATATAGAGCATATGGTTTGTTTTCCAAAGAATGTGAACTTTATTAGATATGCAAAGTTAAGTTGTAAGATATAGCTGCAAAGGAAATCAAAGCATCCTCTGAAGTTTTATTATCTTTCGTATATATTATGTCAGGGTTTGGTGTGAGAAAAACACAGCGTGATTCAGAATCAGATATTTATTACTGAGAGCTAGTGCAACCATGAAAGTTGGCTGAGAAGTCCCTGCAAGGCTGTTGTCCTTGCATCCGCTGATGGGTTTGAAGGTAATACATGGATAGGTCAAACAATTGGCAGTTGTGAAAAAGGAGTAGAGAATACTGAATAGGAAAAACTACAGGAAAAAGTGGAATTCCTGCTGACAATGCGTAACTCTGGAGGAAAAACTAGAGCCTGTGTCTATCCCCACCAGCTCTAACCTTGATGATGTGAGTCACTTTCAGAAGCTGGTGTCTTTCATCACTGAGACACACCAGATGATGCTAGAGAGGAAGTGTGACTATAATGGAAGGAGTGGCAGGTCCAAGTTCTGCCCCTTGTTGTCAAGTAAGCCAGGATATCAGTTGTCATGGACATGGGCTGCCATGGGAAATAATGACCTGCAGTGGTCCCCAACAGGGAAGGTTTCACTTCTGACTTTGTAATCTCACACGTAGGTCCCTATGGTCAATGCTAATTTGGAAACATATAAAGAAGAGAATTTTAGAAAACATCGTTCCAATTCAGCTAAGTTGACATAGTCCAAATGCTACTACATATGAAGCATAGAGCTATACTGCTTGTGTGAGGCTTGCACAGAGAATTTACATTCCTTTAACCTCCTGGAACAGTACTGTGAGGTAGACTAGGCTTACCACTATTGCTTTTAGGGCAAATATACTGAAGTTTCACAGAAATGAAGTGACCTGTGCAAGTATGGTTACATACTATTAGTGGAAGAACTGCAGCTAGATTCTGGATCTCCTGTCTGCAAGTCCAATGTTCTTCCTACCTTGTACAGTTAAATTGATGGCTTCTTTATAAGCATTTTCAATAACAGACTCTAATCAAGGTAAAGAACATCTTTTTTATTAAGTATATAGAAAACAACCCTAAGTTCTCAAAAGGTTATGAGGGAAAAACCTACTTCTAATTTTATTAGTGAGTGAAAATTAGACCCAAGGACTTTTTTTTTCCTTTTTTCCTGAGATAGAACTCACTCTGGTACCCTGACTAGAGTGCCATGGCATTATTGCTCACAGCAACCTCAAGTGCCTGGGATTAAGAGATCCTCTTGCCTCAATTTTTCTATTTTTAGTAGACACAGCATCTTACTATTGTTCAGGCTGGTCTCAAATTCCTGAGTTCAAATGATGCCAGCTGCCTCAGCATCCCAGAATGGTAGGATTACAGGTGTGAGCCACCACACCTGCTCTAGACCTGAGGACTCTTTATAAGCTTTGAGAGTGAAGTTCCCAAGACACTCAGCATTTGTTCTGATTCAGACCAAGGGACATAATATGAAGAATTCTTACTGCCATGTGAATGTAATGAAACGTACATTAACCCGTGTGAGGATAATGAAAATACAACTATTGGCTCCTCTGATATTTATAATGATAAATGTTTTTAATAAAGGAATGATCCAACTTTACTAGCTTATAAACCACAAATCTGCTGGCATGGTAGTAGTTTTAAAAATAGAAGGAAGTATATCTGTGTAGATATGAGGTTTGACTATTAAGTTTATGAACTCGCCCTTGAACAAGTGCTATATATCTCATTACTGAATATTATTGTGATCACCTTGAAAGTACTCTCCTTGGAAAGCTATGCACTGATGCCAGCACCTAGTCCACACTTCAAAGCAATTTTGTAGCTCTTTGTTCTGGAATGACCATCAAAGTTACCATCACGGGACACACAAAAACCTGCAACCATAATGAACACCATTCAGCAAGACACTACCACACATTGACATGAACACAGTGTGAGACTGATATACCAAGGTTATGAAATCTTACCAAGTTGTTTATACAGTGCTGATAATCGCATGGTAGCGAGTTTGCTAACTAAATTGTCAGTCCTGAGACATATGTATATGTGTATGTATATTACTATGCATGTAATTTCCTCATCTGTAGAATATAGACAAAATACTGGTATTACATAGATATTTAAATAAGCTAACTTTGTAAAAGTTCTTAGTAAACTGCATAACACATCTACAAACATTTTGTAGATGTCATCTCACTGTTATACATGCTTTCTTTCTTTTCTTAATATTGTGTTCACATTGCTGTACTTGTCATAGGGAACGACATTAAGATGCCCATGACCTCGTCATGATTTCCATTATAAATGTAGATGTATGGGTCTGTGGCAGTAAAGAGGAAAATAATTCATTTTCTCGCTCACGGGATAATTTAAGAGACTATGAAAGAGTTCTTATAAAGTATCATTGCTTAGAGTTCTTATAAAGAGTTCTTATAAAGTATCATTGCTTAACTTTTACAAAGTTAGCTTATTTAAATATCTATATAATACCAATATTTTGTTTATATTCTACAGATGAGGAAATTACATGCATAGTTTTATACATACACACAACACACACGTATACATATGTCATAGGACTGACAATTTAGTTAGCAATGAATCCATAGCTGATGTGGTCCAGTGCTTCTCAATCTGTCTTATGCTAAAATTTAGATTCTGCATTTCTACAAATTCCATAATAATGATGATGCTTTTTGTCCATAGACCATATTTTGAACACCAAGGAGCTAATCAAAACATTTGTTTTCAGAGGGAAATAAGGCCTGAGTAGGAGAGTGGTCTGCCCAATGTTGCAATTATTAGTGAATACTGACTTTCCTAAAAGGCTGGTCAGTGGGAAAGCTAGGGCTAGAACAAAAGTTTCCAATTCTCAGTTCATAGTTCTGTGATTCTCTGTGGCATTTAAAAAGAAATCAGTTTATTACAAAGTAAGAGTTTAAAGAATACATGTTGTGAATTCAGAACAGCAGTAAGTGACTGAGTGGAGGAATTCCTTTGTCAAGCATTTTATTATTAAAAGGTTTGAAAATCATTGCATAGGGGATGGCTTATTGAAGAAAAATTAGAAAATGTGGATAAGTAAAATAAAATAAAAGACACCTTGATCTACTGCACAAAGTTAACCAAAATGTACTAAATGCATTCTTACATATTTGGGTGCATATCATTTTTTAATTTTTTTCTTACATATACAATTTCTTGTATGTGAATGGGATTAAAGGAAAAATATTATTTTGTAGGTCATAGAATAATATTGTTCAATAACATCATTTTTAACAACCTCATTATATTCTACTCTGGGGCTATAGTATAATTTATTTAACTTTTGGTGGACATTTAGGTTGTTTTCTGTTTATCTTTTTTTCTGGTCCGTTTTGTTCTATTTCATTCTGTATTTTATTTCTGGGACAGAGCGTGGCTCTGAGGCCGGAGCTGGGTTGCCATGTCACTGGCCTGACTCACAGAGGCCTTGTACCCCTGGGCTAGGGTGTCCCTCTAGCTTTGGCCTTTCAGGAACCATAGTGGTAGGTTGCGGGGGCACACTTCTGATTTTCTTCTGTATTTGGCAGAGTCAGGGCCTTGTGCTTGCTCAGGCTGATAGGGAGATCTTGGCCTCAGGGGACCCACCGACCCCAGCCCCAGAGCCCTGGACTGCAGTGTGGGGGATGGCACTCTGCTGAACACCATCATTACTCCTCTTTTTCTCTTTTTGTCCTTCTTCTCTCCTTGTTTTCATTTTTTCTTTCATCCATTTTTTCTATTTCTTTCTTCTCTCCCTTCTTGCTCCTTATTCTTCCTTTGTTCCTGTACCAAAAGGTACCTTCAACACGCAAACGCAGAGACGAGGAAAATTAAGGAGAAGGAGGAGGTGGGG